CTTTCTTTTACAGGCATATGTCACTGCAGAAGTTCTCAAACTTTATGGTCTGTCAAAGGATCAGAGCCAGAAAACTGACTGGCAAAAGATGCTTAAATTTGGCAGAAAGAAACGGGACAGAGTCGACCACATTCTGGTGAGGCCAAAATTATGAATTAATTGTATTTGTGTAAAATTATTCTCAAGTGATGCCTTGGAGGAAAATGGTATGAATATAAAAATGCATTCAGGGTGAAATAACTGATACTGGAATATTATTTGTATGAATATAAAAATGCATAACTGATACTGGAATATTATTTCTGAGGTTTAAAAAACCTCATCAAATAGAAAGAAACACAAAGTAAAGTTATATTTTTGGAAAATGTGAAACCTGCACTTTTTGACTGACCCTCGTGATTGTAGAAACTAACTAGATCAACAATGTTTACTCAGGTTCAGGAACTCCACGAGGAGGAGTCACAGTGGGTTAATTATGATGAAGATGAGCTGTCAGTCAAGATGCAGCTGGCAGACAGCATCTTGGATGCCTTGCTCAAAGACACTGCAAACGTGCTGACACTAATCTATGACAAGAGGAGAAAACGAGACGCCCCGTCCTGACGACTTTCCCTTTGAAATTTCTCATAACCTTCTGCTGCTAAGTCCTCCACCAGCTGACGTGCCAACAGCAACCCTTAGATGCCTTCAATCCTGGCTTTTACCTCTTGGCTCTGTAGCTCATTTCTGTGACATTCACGGTCCATTAATACAGTTTGATTTGTGCACGAAATGCTTTTCTTTAGGAATCTTCTAAATTGGACCTAATCTCAGTCGTCGCCTCCTCTTGAACTAACCCTCGAGGCGAGTGAGAAATATGGAGACGTTCATATCTGAATCGACTGTTTCACCTAATGCTGCTATGGTCACTGTTTTATAGGGGACTCTGAAAGCTTCTGAATTTCAGGTATTGGTAAAGTTAAAGGTAAAGACGTGAGATCGGATTAGCGTCACATTTTATGGTTTGTTGGTATTTTGACTGTGACACATTTTCTCTGATGTTGTAATCCATCTTCTGTCAGCGAAGCAGTTTTAAATTCCTATTGCACAATTTAACGTAATTTGGTAAAAATAAACTAACACCAGTACGATTCTGAATCTGAACTCCTTCCCCTCAAGTCCCTTCAGGCCATTTTGTGACTCGGCACTTTAACAGATTAATGTGCACTTTACACGAGGGCAAAAAGGAAAATGTGTCACTTTTAAATACTTATCGGCTCCTTTGTGTTGTTGGTACATTATTGGGGTCATGCATAATATGTGAAACATTTTGTCTTTTTGTTTGAAATTAATACTCAGAGAATTGTAAAATGATTTTTTTTTATCAGCATCGTCAAAAGTTTGATATTGTGTAAAGACAATTTTTAAAGAAAGCACAAAGAGAAATGTGAACGTGTCGATATAATGTCACGACCTAAAAGAAATCTATTGTAACCTCGAAAGAAAAAAAACAGAAAATCGGTTCATATTCAAAAGTAACAATAGGTCATGACTCCTAATATTTTGAGTCATACTGGGGTTTGGTTTGAACACTTCATACTCACAATATTTCATTTGTATAATATAGAAGGCGTTCAAAAATTAATAGGCAGTTGTTTTGGTTTAAAATGTCTTGAATCCCTGTGTAGGACTTATTGAAATGCTGGATTTGAGCCGTTGTTCACTCTCTCTCTCTTTCTCTTTCTCTCTCTCTCTCTGACCTCAGAAGACATGTGTTGTTCCATCATCAGCTGAACATATTTGAGCAAATGCCCTGAAAAAACCCATTTGGTTCTGTTTAGCCATGGCTCCGTGCTCTGCGTGTTCATGTGAAACATTTGTGTTTTTTTTTACAGAGATGAAGTTGGTGCTTTAGCTTTCATTGGACCTTTTTTCACCTTCTTGAATGTCTCCCCACAACTGCTGTAGACAACATTCTTCACATGTTCCTTAGATGACGGCGCAGTCTTTCATCATTGCTTTAGCCTCTGCCTTTAGCAACCTCCGTGTGTCAGAGCAAAAAAGAAGGCATTAGCCTGGACGATGTTTTTATACGTTCTCATTTCTGTGTGCCTAAGAAAACAGGTGGAAATCATTGACCTGCTCCAAAGGTTATTTGCTTCTTTTCTGTCTCCCTCACATCTGTTTGCCCGTCTGGTTACTGCTTACGTTGTCATATTGATCCAACTGTATCAGGAACTGGTATGTTGAAACTGCGTCGTATAAAGTGAGTCAACAGACTGTCGGAGCTGAGCACGTAGGCTCTGTGCTGTGGTTTATATCTGAACAAACGGAGCAAAGTCACTGACAACACGGTGTGTGATGGAGTCTGTGCGGAGTTAGAAAAAAAAAGTGTCCTTAAACTTTTGTACATTTTTTAAAAAAAAACTACTTTCAGTGACTTCATCGTGGCTGATGTGTAAATTCAAACTGTAAATTGTATAGTGTACAAAAATATACACCCAAATATTCAACACAGATTTGTCCTCACTGTACGACTTCTAGTCTGTGGCCACGTGTTACTGGAATACTGACTGTAGGTCCTGTAGAAACCCTGAGCTGATTGTACTGGAGAGGAAACGGCGATCCTCCTCTGTAACTATGCATCACACGTTCTCCTGCATTTTTAACTTTCAGTTTCAAACAGCTGAGTCTTCTGCTGCTACTCTGAGCTCCACAGATGTTCAAGAAGCTTTGAGCTGTTTGTTGCACAATAGAGGCTTTTCCTACAAAAGGAAAAAAACAAATTTGCAACTCGCCCTTAAATTAAAAAATCTCTGTCCATTTTTATTGTGTAGGCATGAAATTAGACGATCAGATTCACGGAGTCCGGCTAAGCTTTCTGCTTTGTCTTTTAAAATTTCTGCGATTATTTATAAAGTGGTGGTGCGACGTGCACCTGAAGACGAGTACAATTCCGATGTAGGTTGTAAATATTTTGTCTTTCTGATCTGACCTGCGATGACTGTATGTAATATTATGAGCATTGTATAAAATAAACATTGTTTAATTTGCAAATATGTACATAGTATATATTTGTTAACAAAACAAACGTTGAAATTGTAAATAAAGTTTTCTGCTGTTTCTCAAATAATTTGGTTTGTTTTGTTTTTTTTTTCAGACTCATGTTTGTGTGAATGTGACCAGTGTTAGTTTTGAAGATGCTGAGAATGAGGTCAGTGTTTCATTTATTTATTTATTAGAATTCACTAATTATAAATCACCCTTTAAGCTGTTGTTTTTATGTATTGTTATTTTTGACCAACTTTAACTTTTCTGTCTCACAGATTTCCCCCGCCCCCCCAACATATGTATTCATCGTGGTTACAAACTCAAGGTTCAAAAGGAAGGACTTTTTTTTTTTTTTTTTTTTTTTTTTTTTTATAGGAATGTCTTGTTGTCGTTGTTGGTATGAATGAAATTCCATAAATGAAAACCAGAGAATATTTCAAGGAGGAAAATCTGTTTTATACATTTGAAGGTGGAGCACAAGTGTTTGGACATCCGTGACCTTGGGTCGGCAGTGGGAGGAGCCTGGAGATGTGTCAACTTTTGTATCCGTGAAGCGTAAACTTCCAGCGTTCAGCCCACCGACCGTTTCCTCCTCCTCCAGCAGCAGCAGCAGTTGTTGTGACAGGGGAAGATGGCGCGGCGCTGCGTCCGTGCCACGTCTCGGTTGACGTTTTGTTTCAGTGAAAAATCAACACTCAGTTCCTGGACATGTCTGTTTGGTGCGTTTGTTTTGTTTGGAGCCGCTGCCGAGGCGGAACTGTACACCTCCTCTGACCAGGTCACTCTGCTAACTCCGGAAAACGTCAAATCGGTTCTGGTGAACTCTTCTGCGGCCACTGTGGTGGAGTTTTACGCCGCCTGGTGCGGACACTGCATCGCCTTCTCTCCCATCTACAAGAGCCTGGCCAGAGACATTAAAGGTTGGTACGAACTCTCCACAGCTGTTGTTGTTTTGTTTTGTCGAGTCTTTCTGCACAAATGAACTGTTGTGTTCATGGATCACAACAGTTTATGTATGCAGAAAGTTTGAAGAAAAATCGGCTGTCAACATGTTTTGAGACAGAAGGTTTTGTAAATGCACTTCTGAAAGCCGTCTTTCCATCAGAGAATTCCTGTTCTGT